AAGACTACTAAAATTTATACTGCTCGGTAAGCTTAATGAATTTGCGGCTCAACATGTATAAGGCGGAAAGCATATCTATGTGCATGAAGAGACGCGACAACGTGTGGTTGAACCCTCGCCAAATAAGTCGGCGCATTTGGACAGCCTGTCATATTCGGCAGAGTATTGGCCGACCATCAAAATAAACTTTATTTCTTTCTTCCAAATAAAGTGTCTGATGATATCGGAAATGTGATCGTTGTGGACTGTCTTAGCGAGAAGGTGCATCTGGCTAGCTGTCCACAATCAAGTAGCCGGTAAGGATGCCACGCTATTCATCAAGACGTCGTCTCCAAAGACCCGCCGTCGGTCCTACCTCCTGACCGAGGTGTGCGTCATGAGATTGACCTGGTTCCGAGAACCAAATGCTGCGTAACACACCAATGACCTCTGCCCAAAGAGCATTGAGACGTCATTGACGCCTTTTTCCGTGCAAAGCACGAGACAGGATTGGTGTGTGAGAACAAGTCTCCCCACTCGACACCCACGTTTCGTGTCCGAAGTCGAACGGCACGCGGCGTATCGTTCACGCTTACAATAAGCTGAACGCTGCTACCATATCGGTACAGACGCCGCTTCCTCGAAAGGATTATCTTCAGAACAATATGGTCGGCTGCACAGTGTAAAGCGCACTCGACTTGGTCGATGGTTATGGCCAATTGCTCATGAGAGCGAGTGGTATTCCGCTGGCAGCGTTGAGTACTCCGAGCGGGATGCTTTGGGAGTGGCTGGTGATGCGATAGATTTTGATCATGCTTCTGCTGCTAACAATCATGTTTTGACCTAACTTAACTTAGTATGGGATTGTTGTGCTGGCGCAGGTGGCCTCCAAGGGCTGTCAAATGCACCAGCAACATTTTTTCGTCTTGTGACGCCGTTATTCAGGCCTCATCTGGCGTATGCACAGAAGTACTTCGACAACATCTTCGTCCACATTCATGTGGGCACTGGAGGACAGATGAGGGATACCACATCGTCCATTCGAGAGCGGTGCGTGAGTGCATGCGCACGAATTAGCTGAAGCTGGTGCACCAGACAAGTGCAGACAAGTGCATCTTCTGCGCCGAAGAAATCCCCCCTTTTAGGTTGCATTGAGAAGCGTGGTCTTCGAGCAGCTCCCGCAAAGGTCAAGGCCATCGTGGAATCGCCTATTCCAAAGAGTCAAAAAGACTTGCGCAAGTGGTTTGGCCTCGCCAACTACTTGCACAAGTATAGCGCAAATGACACGGCAATTGTGTAAGAATCTTAGGAACGATGCCGACTGATGTTGAAAAAACTGATCGAGAGGAACCGCCCAGTCCATGAAATAGAATTATCTGCGATGGGTATCGCACTTGTCAAGTCCGGGTTCACCTGATTGGCTCAAAGCCGTTTGTAATCTTCATAGATCATGCTTCATTACGTACTGCAACTCAGTCGCCTCACCTCTCGTGGAGCATGACCAGGTGTATCTCAATCTTTGCAAAATATATTTTTGAGGTGAAGGATATGCCAGAAAAGTGGAATGCTTTAGCTAATGCGGCGTCACGCAGACCGGTTTATGAGCTTGCTCATGTCACGACGGTAGCGTCGTCAGAGGCGGATTTAATCCGCGCCGCATACGCGGGTGATAACATATATGTAACGCTGCTACAGGCTCTCGGGAGCAAGAAGTGTGGAAACTCGGACAAGAAATTGTCGGCGCGTTTGCGCGCACGGTCTCACCGATATTCGTTAAGTCATGATTTGCTGTAGTATAGCACCAATTCAACGGATAACCCATATATTGTGGTTTCTATCGGCGAGAAATAAAAATCCTGTATCCTCGATGAGGCCCACGACACCCCACGACATCCCACTCATCAAACATCTCAAACATCTCGGTGGTGAGAAGACGTACAGCTCGGTGAGCTGCCACTTTTGGTGGCCCAAGCTGTACAAGACGACGAGCACATATGTGCGCACGTATGAGGTCTTCGAATGCGGCAGTGCCTCTGGCCAGCTTGCCGATACCCTTCAGGTGTTGGCAGTCCATGGGTATAGAGTTTGTGTTTAACTTGCCGAAAGTCTCGATAAGAAACACGGGTGTAGTGGTATTTCTGGACCGATGGCTCATCTTGCGGCAGTTGTCGGACATCATTGTCGGTGTGATACAGCGACGCTGTTTATCGAGCTTGTCTTTCGACAACTTGGAATCCCGGAGTCAATTGTCTCTGATAGAGACGCAATCCATTGTGAAATTTTGGTCTAAAATCTTAAGAGCGCTGGGCTCCAAATTGACTATGTGAACAGTGGACCATCTGCAGACCGATAGTCAGACTGAATAGGGCGTTACAGACGTTCTTCGCAGCGTCTGCGCTAAGACGCCGAGGCGCTAGAGCACTATGTTGCCACTCGTAAAGTTTGCCCTGGACAATGTACTGTATTTATCTACCGGCTATACGCCGTTATACGTGAACGGGCCTTTTAATCTCGCGTCTCGCTGACGCCGCCATCCCAAGGTCCAGGAATAGCCGAACGGCTGGCCGATGTCAGCCCCCTCACCGTGTGTAAAGAAGTAAATACTTCCTGTCTACCAGACTGAATGCCTCACGACACGTTTGCCATGTGATGGCCAAAACTCAAAGCATGCAGAAGGAATATGCAGACGGACAAGGAAGAAGAAATGCTGAAAACATTGAGGTCAGAGACCTTATTTTACCAAATGCTAAAAATTTCATACGCATGCAGTTTGTACTGTCTTTTAGACAAAGAACCGTCCAAAGATCATTGGACCTTTTAAGTTCGTGACCAAGCAAGGCCTTGCATATACGCTGAACCTTCCGAGAAGGATGAGCACCCACCGGGTGTTTTATGTGGCTTACTTAAGCCGTTCCGGGTTCGACGCAAGTGAAAGCGGGAGCTTTGGCGCCGGAGCGGCGCCCAAAAACGCTCAGCCACCCAGAAGCTAAACCAGCAAATGGTTCTGAGCAAGGGGTGTTACACCTTCCGGCACAAGGCCCTCTGTCACACCAAGGGTACGTATTCGCCTGTTCGACGCACAGCGATTGGCAACCTCGGAGAGATGCTCGGCAGAGTGTCCATGACGATGCATTTTGCCCTCCAACGCTCGAAGAACATTGCTAGTCACCAGACGGCGATCGACCAAGTCGTCATCGTTCGCCGCCGACTCTTCTCGATGAGCATGGTGGCGCCAACTACCACATGGAGTGCCTTGTGTGTCGACCAAGTCGACGGGGGTTTAGCCCAATATCATGTGAGAAGGCGGAGATACCCAAACTCTGAGAACTCGTGGGAGTTTGAGCTGCCACCTCGGCAAGATTGGCCAGACGTCGTGGAGGCTTATGATCAGAAGAATCATGACGTTTCGCGTCGTCGTGCGCATCGCGCTTCTCGGCAGTATCCCGGAAAGCCGAAGGGCCATGAGCTGAGCTCAAGCTACGGCTCTGAACTACTGTAGTCGTAAACTCATCTGTGTGATAAACCACAGAGCTCGCGAAACCTTGATGGATGATTCCATGTGTCGCAGGGCGATAATACGCAGGAAGACGGCGTTGCTCCTTAATTTTGGCAAATTCAAATCGCAGACGGCGCTGAACGCGCAGGTTCACTTATTTGTAGCTTTGCTGTAAGCTAGACAGCAAAAAATGTTTGTGGTGCTTTTGCTCCCATCGATCAAAGAGCACATCATCATCTGCAGCGGTTTTGCCAGGAGCGAGCACCACAGGGATGGTCCGCATTGCAAAAACAAAAGCACTTCCCTTCTGAGCTCGAAGTCGAGCGCGGTACCGATCTATTGGGATCCCATGAAATGCCAGAAGCTAATTCGCAGAGATTTTCGCCAATTAGTTCAACTTGTATATCGGCCAGAGTCTCGACTACGTAGACGCCTATTGATCGAGTGATCGCGTCTTTAGCTTCAGTAGCAGGATCCGCCAGGCAAAAGCCATATTCCACACGAGTGGCTTGGACCGAATGTGTATACGAGCGAAGGAGAGCCGCCCTGTGAGCAGCTTCAAATTGCTGCTCCTGTGCCTCGTCGAGGCGACTGGAAACAATACCACTTCCTCGGAAGCTGAGATGTCGGGGAACGGACACGGTGTCCGCAAGTTTGAGCTGGGCTTACGTCGCGCCGTTGGTGCACTTCATCTTCCTCGTCATCCCATGCTGGAAAAGGAGTGCCCAGCTCGTAGTCGCCTTCCATCAACTTCTTGACGAGGAAACCCGTCGCCCGGGGCGGGCGCGGTGTGTTGCGCCCAGTTGCTAAGGACGTTTGATGTGCTTCCAGTGAAGCCGCGGACGTATTGTCCAGAGATGCATCCTGTGCAGAAGAAGAAAAAGGGCTTTGCCCACGGGCACCCTCGCTTCCGGCTACGCTGGGTGTCTTGTGTGTTGTTGACACAGTGCTCATAGAGCGGAGAGGGTTTAAAGTTATGCTTGTAAACGTGAAGGTTTTCAGACATGCCAGCCTCATATCAGGCGATCGTTAATTGTAAATTGGATACATTCACATTTTTAATTGGGAGTAGTGCTATGAATTACACGTGCCCTCGTGAGAAAGGGTGGATTGCACAAGATTGTGCGACCGTACATAGGTGTGTATTACACAGTTCGTTTTATCACGCCGTGGTGTGGCTACATCGTAACAAGTAGCCACCACGTGGCAGGATTGCCAGTTGTAATGCATATTACAATATTAATTAGGTATCGCTATATTAATTAGGTACTACTATTTTTATTAGAATTACCTAGGGTCATAGATATTAGCGGCTCTGCCTCGACTTAAACAATAAATTACAGTTCCGCTCTGAACAGAAGTGTTCGTTTGTCTTGGTAAAGCTTTAGTATTTAGAAGTAGCACATTGTGGTCCGCTAAAATTGTACTGGATCCCTTAAAGGTCGATGACCTTAGCTTAGCTTCCCCGAAGCAAAGAGCTACGGCAGCTCCGCTGCAGTAACAATCCAAGATATGTGTCGGTCGCTTATGATTTCGTGCCTATACTTGATACAGGAACACTACATAACATGTAGAGTTTATTCATAGAAGCTGACATTTTTTTCAACGACAAATTTAGATCCAATGCATTCGCTCCAGGAAGAACTTAGCCTTAAAAATCGTGAAGTGGATAGAGACGCGAAAAGGTCGATTTATTTTCAAAGAGATATCATACGAAATACAGACCTAGAGCCTGCTTTTTCAGCCACAGCACAACACCATTTGACATCCTTTTTGGAGATTGGCTAGAGGTATAGAAATCAAGATATAGTTGTAGCCGACTAGACCAAGCCACTCTTCTAATCGCCTTTCAAACCAAGCTATTCAATATATACTCTTTTAAAGGAGCTCTTCTGGCTCCAAATATACACTTGCCAATATTTGATACAGAGCTTTTTTAGCATAACTATCCGATCCCAGCTCGCAAATGCACGAAATAAATGTAATAATTCGAACTCTCGTGTTCTCAAGACTACGGACAAATGTATCATCGTAACAGCTGCGTAATTAGACGATGGACGTCATAGGTGCATTAAAAATTCCTGAAGTACAACTAGCCACTATCAGGGCATGCCGCCACGATTCTTAATAAAGTTAGAGGAATGTCACCGACAGTCATGAACTGTTGGATACATTCATCGATTGGGTGGAAAAAATAGTTTATGGCCAGCGATGCTATTTTCTCGCATAATTTTTTACAAATTCACTTGCACCAGAATGGTCGATACATCAATCTAATTGTTTAAAATAGAACCGTCACGTATGTCTGAGACATACAAGAGCTGACGAGCACCAACTCACTATTCTCACCGTTTTTCGGCATTTTCACATATCTATTAGGCAGATACGATTTGTGCTGCACATGGTGCAATTTTCACTGTGAAATGCGTTGGAAATGCTAGATTTGTTCTCGGGATGGAGATTGAGTATGCACCGCAGAAGGGGAGCTTGTGTTGGGGCAGACCCAGTTTATTAAAAGAATGCTCGAGCGATTCGGGCAAATTGAAGCAAATGCTGTGCGTAATGCGATGGTGCTTGGTATGTAAGTTACGCCAGACGAATCACATGACGTGCAAAAAAATGGTCGGCGCTACCGAGAACTATAAGGTCTCTTTTTTACGTCGCCAATACTACCAGGTCCAACAATAGCGCTTTTCTGTCGATACTCTCGCAGTGCCTGAATTCTCCATGTAATATGCACTAGTGTGCGTTCTGTACTATCTTAAAGGCACAGCTACACAAGTGGTGCGGTTCTGCGCTGAAACAAGTAATCAACTCAGACTCAAGGCCGATAAAGACGCAAACTCGGGAGGTGACAAGCACACGAGACGCTCAACGTCTAAAATATAGTGCTGCTTGCAGGTGGGCCTGTATTATTCAGGATCAAGCGGCAGAACACGGTGGCTTTGTCTTCTGCTGAAGAAAAGTATCTAGTACTTGCTTTGGCCACGCAAGAGGTCATTTGACTACGCTATATGTTAGTTGAGATGGGGCTGAAGGCTGAAGGCCCCACCACGATTAGACTAGACAAGAAACCTGCGACTTTTACGGCTGCAAACCAGGTTACACGCCTCGCGCGAAGCACATTGACCTATGTGGTCGTTTTGTACAAGACCACTAGAAGAAGGACGCGTCAAGCTAGCGCACGTGCCCACGGAGGATCAACTGACCGACTTCTTTATTAGGGCGACGTCGACGCCACGCCTGTTGATGCTATGTCGGAAAAGCGGGATCGATGTGCAAGTTGAGGGGGAGTGTTGGGGTGTTGGGACGCCACGTCACATATTTGTGTACGGTACACAATGGTAACTTGCAAGCTGAAATAGAACCTTCTCGAAGATTTAGTTTGCAAGGTTACAGGACATGCATTAGTAGTTAGGACCTGGTTAAGGTTGTGGTGGCTTATTTACTTTCCATTCTGCGCTGCGAGTAACAAGACATTACCTCAAGCATGCCTTCAATCTCTGCACTTTAGTTACATCTTGCTGATTGCATGATATTTGCTTCAAATCTAATGTGATTTTTATTTTTCAGAACAAAGGCTAACGCGCGATGTCTAGGTGCGGGTTATCGTACATCAATATTGCAGCCTGTATCGATTTTGGAAATCGACTTGTCCGCAATTGGATTCTTAACTTCTGGCTCAAGTCTACCTATTGTTCTGATTGTAAAAAGCATGAGAAAGCCTGAACAGACGGTAATAAAGATTTGCAACATCTGTCTCACAAAACATAATTCCTTAATCCCTTGACTATAAATAATAGCGTTCGAAAGCTTGAAAGAATTTGCTACATCTGTCTCTCAGGAGCCACACGCCAGTACATTCGATTTATTTATTCCGAAGAGTCCGTAATTCGTCGAAGCAGGTTCAACCTTAATACTTGGATGCACAGCTTGATTAGGCACAGACTGATCCCCTATATTGGATTGGACCCTCAATATCGCGAGTAGGGGCAGACACAATCGGTACTTGTCTCGACAAAATAGCTCTAGAATAGCTGGGGCAACCAGATCGATTTCTTGTTCAGGATGAATTTCCAACGAAGTTTCGTCTGAACGTGTAGTGTCAGCGACAGCACGAAAAACACTCGAGGAGCCCCACTCAAGCGAAAATTCGGCAGCTAGGAAAAGAGAGCTATTTACCTCCATACGCATAAGATAATCTTTCATACTATCGATATCCATGTCTGTCGCAGTGGGTGTAGTAAAAATGTCGGCGGACTTTTTTTGTGAGTGCGTACTTTGTTTGGATATCTCCACTATTAACGAAACACCATCGTGATTATGAGCAGGTGACCACTCATTCAGCGCCACATTCCGCCATTTAAGCAGTCTTTTGTTGTCTAGGTCCCATGCTCGGTATGCCTTCGAATCGTCAGCATATCCCAAGAAGATGCAGCGGTGTGATATCGCATCCCACTTCGTCCTGTTACTCCTATTGAGATGCACGTACCCGGTAGAACCAAATACTCGAAGATGATCGAGTAAGTGTTGCGTGCCGGTGAGAACTTCGATTGGAGTCTTGTGGCGACGCGCATTGTTTAGGAAATGATTAACTACATGAGCAGCTGACATCGCGGAATCTCCCCACCATCGTCCACGTGATACATCATTGCTCGGGCCGTTCTAGTCAATGTGTCGTTTATTCTCTCCGCCAATGCATTCTGCTGCGGAGAATACGGAGCGCTTGTTTGATGCACGATGCTATCGGTGGCACAAAACCTATCGAAATTCGCACTGATGTACTCTGCCCCGTTATCGCTACGAACACACTTTATCATGTAGCCAGTTTGGTTCTCTGCAAGAGCCTTAGATAGCAAAATCAAAGACTTGTGCCCTAGAAGAAAGCAGATACACGTAGACGTATCTAGTGTAATTGTCGATGAACGTGAGCACATGCAATGATCGACTTATCGATTTTGGCTACATTTAGCCCATAACATCAGTGTGGGACGACTTCCATTCTTCTAGCCTTGACTTCACTGCCGGAACTTCGTGCGAACGGATTTGTCGTCGCAACTTGAGCACAGCCACCTCAGTTAGCAATCACGTTGTATTCTTCATGCTGAAGCCGAGGCATTTCATCACTTATCTTTGCAGCAACCTACATCTTCGATGCAGAAATAATGGACCAATCGGGCGTGCCATAACGTTCTATCTCCACGCATTGTGCTATAAATTCTACATAAAACAGCATACTGTTTCGATGAATGACGTCTAGCACTTTTCAACCCACTACTAGCGTCGCTAGATAGTGCTCAGACTGCACGACAACGCCACGTTTCTCCAAGGCCGGAACGGACACCAGCTTCCTATCCAGTTGGGGCGCATACAAAACCTCCGTCAACTTGATTGTTTGCGCAACTTCAACAACAAAACGGCTAGCAACTGTTTTCCACCAGTCATGGTGATGATGATTAGCATATCAGCTTTGATACTCCATAAAGTCCATATTCTCATCCATCATGTGGCTTCTTGCTCCACTATCCAGCAGCCGGTACATACCAAAATCCTAACCGGCATCTCACCACTAACGCATATTCTGTGATCTTGCAACCTTGACCTTCGAGAAGGTTCAGTTGCATGGTGCCATTTGCACCATGCTCAAATCTGTAACGTGGCACCACAACACCTCAACATCCTTAAGGGTCTGTTGACCTTACAATCTCGGAAAATTGCTGAAGAATGATAGCACATTATTTGTGTCGTTTTTAAGCAGATGCGTTAAAAAATTCAATCATTTGGCTAAAGTAATATGAAGAGGCAATGATCGTGAACAAAAGTATGAAAATGACCATGTAGCTGATGTCTGAATTTCGAGCTATTATTTTTTGTACCGGGGTAGAAGGAGCGTGCGCAGCATCTAGAATGTGCTTTCATTAGCACCAAGTCAAACCTTACTGATGGGATATGCTAAAGTTGAAGTTTACGTGGCTTCTCTTGTCATTCATGAATCAGGACATCACCCACTAAACTTTTCTTAGTGTTAAAACGTTAGCCCAATAGAACCGTTAAAGTTTGTTGTCCTGTCTATCGCTGACAGTGAAGTAGCTATTTGTTGTGGATGTTTTCGACCAAATAATATCAACATCGAAATTGGACCGGCATCTGATAGTCGGTATATGATGCCTGATCAGTCTGCATGCGGTCAGTAGCTGCGAGGGCCAATCGAATTTGACTACTTAGACGTTGCTGCTAAATGCGGCCCATTAAAATCCTAGGTTGGCGTTAAAGTGAATATTTACATGAAGAACCACGAGGAATCTCTACAAATTAGCCGAAATATTTAAACCCTTTATGTCACCCAATTGGACAAAATGATACTTGAAAAAATACTGGAATTGTCAATTTACTTGAATTTGCGGCTCAACATGCATAAGGCTGTAAGCACAATAATGTGCATGTGGAGGCAAGACAACGTGGTGATAAATCCTCGTCGAAAAAGGATTTGGACAGCCTGCCAGATTCGGTAGTGTATTGACCGACCATCAAAATGAGCTTTATTTCTATTTTTCAAATAACGTGTCTGATATTGTCGACATTAAGAGAAGTCTATGCAGCGAGAAGGTGTAGATTTCTAGCTGTCAACAGTGTGGTAGCTAGGGAGACGCCACGCTGTATATCTCTTCTCTTCTCTTCTCTTCTTTATCACCAAAGACTTTTGGTAATATGGCTGTTTGCCGGAAGTCATTGTATCGAGATTGGTGTTTAAGAGCTAAATTTTGGTGATCATTGTTCAAGGAATCAATCGTCAAATAAAACAAGTCAACAGTGACTATTTACAAATGGATGGTCGGACAGAACGCATGGGTTTCATAACTAACGACATCTTGCAAGTCACTTGCGAAGAAAAATCGGGCTGCTGGATTGAGTTGATTTGACCTTCTGAGTTTTGAATTGGACATTACACGCCTTCACAAGCTGACAAGATTCTTATAAACCAGCTCTCACATCCACAATAGCTGCAGTGTTAGTGGTCGGAGGGCTCACAAATCAATTTGATGTGCTAATATCAGCCCGATCACACTCTGAAGCGTAATGAGTGATTTTATCTCAATGGGTTTGAGCGTCGAGCTCAAGGGTGTGTGTGACGTTATGGCTGAAAACGAAGATGATTGAAGGCAAATCCCTGATGCCAGAGGCTCAAAACCTTTTTGAAGATTTCAGGTTTGATTAACGCAATAAGCTGCCTAAACGTTCGGTCTTTGCGATCTATGTATGACACATAGTTGTTGTTAGTGATTGAGCTATAATGTAAAGACTTCATAAAAATGCTAGCACATGCTGTGTTTTACATACGTATCTTCAACCGCACTTACAAGCTAGGCAGATGCAAGTGACCATGTTGTAGTCGGAGCATACCTGGTCCATCTTCTGTAGCTGAGCGATCCCCTGATTCAAAACAGTAACGCTGTTCTGAGATGCTTGAAGTATGCAATATGATAGCGAAGCTCAGAGAGCATTTCGGATTTGACACATTTTGGATATATGCTGAGACGCTTTGGATAGCATAAGAGCCAGACATTGGATGGTTGAATTCGTCGGTACTGCTCGATGACCACGGAGTGGGTCACTTTCAGGTAGAGCGATAATGTACACCATGGCTGTAATCAAAGTATGGTGAAAGAAAAGATGTACTCATTTTTGGGGAACGTAGAAGGGTCCGATATCTAGTGGCCTTCAAATTCCTGAATTGACAGGATCATCCGTGACGGACTATGAGCTCATCTCATTCTCGGATTATATTAAATGTGTGAAGATTATGTGCCGTAAATCCCCCGATGATAGTATATTGGGCTCCACACGAGCTTGTGCCTAATGTAAACAGTAGTGGTTGCCATCCCAGGACTTTCTGGGTCTCTTCATTTTAAAGTGCAGAATTTCGATCGTCACACCACTCCGTGCTACTGATCCATATTTAACGTCGCAATGTGGCAAGATTCACCCATTCTACGCCTGGTCTTTCTGATTGTGACTCACAGATTCATCTTGACAGACCACTGTAATGATTAGCTCGATCATTGTCAAGTTTTGAAATCGCAACATATAGAAATTGGCTTCCATTCGAAGAGATAAAAAAGTTTAGGATGTATCAGATCAAAGCTGTATTTAGCTAAAAACGATGAGATCTGGAGAACTCGACATACAAGGTCTCAGCTGCTAATATTTCTGTAAATTGTATATTTTCTTGTGGTCTAAAGCTTTCTCGATGCTACTGACAGTATCGACGCCTTCTTTCGGACAATATTTTGCTCTACTTAAGCTACAGCGACTCTTGTATTCTGAAAAAGTGTTTTCTCTTTCAAGCAAATGTGGGCTCATAAATAGCCAAAGTTACAGGACAAAAGAGAATCAAATCTTTTCTTCGTCGTCTCGTTAGAACTTTTGACTCTATTATTATCATCGTCGTGAGACATTAGAGTTGGAAGTTTATCTTGACCTTCGCGTTACACTCTCTGTGTTTTGAAGTATAATGTACATCGTTGCACAACGCCAAAGATTTCACAAAGTCCAGTACGGAAATATCATAGACCAGCAAACATGGTCCAAATGCATCGTTAAATTGCGTCTTTCTATTCAGAACTATCTCACATTGCCCCTGACCTATCCGAGGCTCACCATAACCCATTATCATTTTATGCAACGTTGTATCTTTTCTGACTCGACATTTTCACAGATTTGTCGGCTAGGAGCTTGACCCTTCAAATCTACTAGATGAATGGAAGGTAGACCCGCATAGATCAGATCAGCTTTAAAAGATCTACTACATGAGAGTATTATGGCGATGCACAGTAGCCAAGATACCATCGTCTTACACTCAGCTTGGATAAGATCAATTATATCTAGCACTGACAAACCGAATCTTGCTGATACAAAATTATATTCTTCAGATCAAATGTAATCTTTATTTCTCTCCAAAAAGTCTGGGCTCACGCTAAATGTCTAGGTGCGGGTTACTTATTATCCAACATCAATATTGCAGCCTGCTTAAACACACAATACACAGGCTTATTCGTGATATACATGCTGCTCGGGAATTGATGACGACGCGCAAGCCTTTGAAGTTGGATTCACCCAGTATTTGACTTATCCTCTACATTACTCTACAATTCAAGCCAACAGCCAGAGAGACGTGTGGCAAATGAACCCGATTTGAATACTATCTTGAACCACTTGATATATTACGGTTTGAGTCATAAGGAAGTGGAACTAAAATTGCATACTGCTGGGTACAACGACGCCGTGCAAGACTATATCATTTCATACGATAAAATCTTGTCTACAATGTCGACGAATGACATTGTGAGATTGAAGCCCCTACACAACAAGACAGATATCATTGCCCGTGCGGCATACTTGCTCACAACCAGAGGAGGCGTTGGTCAAGCGCAATCACGCTTTGTAGCTTCCGACTCGGAAACATTTCTGACCCTTTGCATTCGCGTAAGGTACGGCAGGGATCCATTAAAGGAAATCCTTCTCAACAACAGTTTACCTTAGCATCAAGTGATCATCATTTTGGATTTCTATGACACACTCCTTTTAGCGTTGTCATTCAAGAAACTCTCGTTGGTGGAACGTAGTTCTCTAATTAAACACTGTCGATACAATGGATTTTGAATTAGCTACTTCTTATTCGCAGCTAGGTGGACGAAGCTCTTCTTTTTCGTAAAATATATATGTTCTTGCATCCGTAAATTTTAGAATATTTCACTAACAACTTGGTTACAATTTTAGTGTACCGTTTCTAAGTTACGATGAATGGCATGCCCGCTAGCTATGCATCATCCAATTACATATTGTGAATCCAAAGACTTTGTACCTATTTTTAATTGGAGAAGACTTATAATGTATCTTTCGTTATGTTCCTCGAATTCCCACGTACTCAACCAATTCTACAACCACATGGTGGAATATCGACCAAGCAATTAAGCCAGAGGATGAGTCTGTGCTTAATTAAACTGTGCATCCAAAATTTAAGCTTGAACCTGTTTGGACGGATTACGGACTCATCGGAATAAGAAAACCGAATGTACTGGCGTGTGGTTCGTGAGCGACAGATGTCCCAAATCTTTTCGCCGCCTATCAAGACTTTCTTTCAATTTATCTATAGTAAAAAAGTAAAAAAATACATCGTGAGATATACATGTTGCTCTTTTCATCATCTGTCCTGGCTTTCTCATGCTTTTAACTAGCCATCTCACATGCCAAATCTTCTTGCAAATGCGGATCGAACATTGGCTTATAATAGTAAGTACGATTTTATACATTCCAGCAATAATTCAAATAAATTGTGATACTTCAAAACAATTCTTACGTAATCATATGCAAAAAGCGTTGAATTGATGGTAAAACCGCAAGTGAAAAGTTTATTATTTGAAAGCGATGCTAGGATGTCGACAAGTACAATCGTTGCAGCGAAAAGAAAAAGATGCAGTATGGAGGAGAAAGCTAGTATGCGCATTATATTGGAGATGAAACTTATCGTAGAATGAAGCTGCTAGAAGGATTGCGCGATATTAAATTGAATGGCTCAACAAATACATACGATGCTCGTGGTCTAAAAATTTTGCAGTCTACTCTATGAACACTCATACGACTTTTTATTTCAACCCACAAAAAAAAGGAAAAATCCACTTGCAAATGCGGTCCGAACATTAGCGTAAAAAATAATTAGTTTCATGCCGCAGTGGCAGTAGACTATTCTGTGTTATTCTTAATCCAAAAAAAGTGATATTTACAAATTATTTTATTGCAAAAAGCGTTGAAATTTATTACAATTAGTCACCAATTCGCCAGCTCTTTTGAGCATTTCAAATTTCACAAAATATTTTATGAAAAAGCTTAGACACTCATATTGTTACATTTGTATACAGCAACCAACATTAAAATAAGAATAATCTTCACTAATGTGTTATGTAATATTACAAACCTGTCCTAAAGACATAGTACCTTCTTTTGTGAAGAGCTTCGTCCACTCAGCTGTGAAATGTGTAGCCAGACCGAGACTTTATCACAATTTTGCATTTCATTGTATCGACGGTGTTCAATTAGAGAACTGCGTTCCACCAATGAGAGTTTCTTTCTATGACAACGCTACTCGAAGTGTGTCATAGAAGCCTGAAATGTTGTTCACTTGACCCTGAGGTACACTGTTTTCGAGAAGGATTTCCTTCAATGGATCCCTGCCGTACTTTACGCGAATGCAAAGGGTCAGAAATGTTTTCAGTCGGAAGATGTAAACGTGATTGCGCTTGACCAACGCCTGCTCTGGTTATGAGCAAGTATGCCACACGGGCAATGTTATCTGTCTTGTTGTGTAGTGGCTTCAATCTCAAAATGTCATTCGTCGACATTGCAGACAAGATGTTATCGTATGAAACGATATAGACTTGCACGTCGTCGTTGTACCCAAACTTGCGCGTGTTCATTGACTTCCGAGCAGCACAGAAATCACGAATGAGCCCGTTCTTCGTGTGTTTGTCTCTGTAAGCAAGTATGGTTTCCATTTGTGCCACAAAATCGATGGTCAATTTATACTGCGTGTGCTCTTCCCCTAAATTAGTTGGAAAAAACGGATACTCGATATGATCTTGTATTGGTCGAGTCGGCGAGGTGAGTAAATGGAAATAGCTTGCGTTCAGATGATCTGAGATTTCTTTGGGTCGCATCCTTTCTTCGTCACCAATCACTCTTTTCTTTGGTCGTGAATCTTGCGCTCTCAGCTGGCGATCAGTTGCATCCCGCTGATTGTCTCGGAGTGTTTGAGTCGTGGTGGAAAGCGCTGCCAGGACGTCGACAAGTAGAATTAATGCAGCAAAAAGAAATAGATGCAGAATGAAGAAGAAAGCTGGCACGCGCATTATGTTGAAGATGAAATTTGTTGTAGAATAAAGCTGCTAGAAGAATTGAGCGACATAAAAATGAATGGCTCAACAAATAGATAGGATGCTCGCAGTCCAAAAATTTCGCAGTTTACTCCATGAACATTCATACGACTTATTCTTATTCTCCAAACATTATCCCGTTGAAATCGATCATAGATTAGTATCAAAAACAAAGCTCATGATTCATATTCTCCAATGTGATACGATTAGCTTGGGCTGCTTACCTGATCTTAGCGACTCGGTTATTGTTACCTTGCATTCTCCACGTTGGCAATAAAATATCATAAGGTCATTTCAAGCGTGAGCGCTTCAAATAGTCTCCAAATCGAAAAAGCAAAGTCTTTCAGAAACAGCGATACGGCATAGCATAGGCTTTCAATCCACTTGCCAATCCTTGGGTCTAGTAATGATTACAACAATAATAACTGCGCTTGATCTTAACGGTGCAAAATGGAAAGTGATTGTATTGTTTAAATTTCCTGCTGTCCACTGCTAGCCTACCAGCTGTTCTAGAAAACTCGAAGCTTCATCATGTAGGTACTTTACTGTGCGAGTTGCCAATGTCCTGTTCATGCAGAGTGTAGCAAATCCTCTTCTAGAGCTTCGACACTCCCCCTCAACTCGCACTCGGCGACGCAGAGCTTGTAATTCCGCTTGCTTCCCGGAGTTTTACTAGTTGTGGTGTCGGAACCGGCTTAGTAAGGTAGTCTGCGAGTTGCTCAGCCGAAGGTACGTGCTCCAGCTTGATATTACCAGCTTCAACGTGATCTCTGACGAAGTGTGG